GGTGGGTCCCTGCAGTATACCATGGCAGCCAAGAAGCTCAGCCAGTGATAAGATCTTGGGGATCAGAGGAGACATGCTGACAGAAAACACTGTGTGCCCAGCTGTCCACAGCATAACTTTGGCAGCCAGCACACAACCAATCAGGCTATCAAGTGCACATAAACACACAAACACACACACACACACACACACACAGACGGAGTCCAAGTTCATCTCTGAGCAAGGCCACTCTGTGGAAAGAATACCAGTTCCACGAAACACCTGGAAAGTCAGTTCTGCTTTGTATCACCTGCACTGGTAGAAACCTCCATTAACAAGCAGTTCACAAAAGTCAATAGAGAACAGGTAAAGGATACAGGACAAAACCAGGAGGCTAAAGCAATGTACAGAGAGCTAGCATATATGACAATTTCCAGCTCATGAACAAGTCAAGAAATATACAAATGAAAACAATGGGATATTACCTCATTTATGTAATCAGGAAGGAATGAGAAAACCTTCAGTGCTTGAAGGAAGGAGGAAAAAAGGGATGGAGGGAGAAATGGATGGATGGACAGACATCAAACAGCATGTATACAATGGTAAAAGAGATTTCTCAGAACATTCAACTTGAAAAAAATAGGACCTGGAGAGATGACTCAGTGGTTAAAAACACTGGCTGCTCTTGCAGAGGACCCTGGTTCAGTTTAGCACTCACATGGCCACTAACAACTGTCTGTAACTCCAGTTGTAGGAGATCTGATGCCCTCTTGGCTGGTTTCTGCAGGCATTGCCTGACATGGGTTCATTTACATATACTGCAGGCAAAACATTCATACACATAAAATAATAATAAATAAAACAAATTAATTACCATGTGTGTATGATGGGGGGGGTGGGTACATGCATGCCACGACACGGGTGTGGAGGTCAGAGGACTATTTTGTGGCATCGGTTTTCTCCTTCCACTTTTTTTACTTTTATGTGGGTTCTGGGGATTGAACTTCAGTTGTCGGGCTTGCTTGGCAAGCACCTCTACCACTGAGCCATTTCACTAGCTTGAACATTTAGTAATATGTATTTAAAACCTTAAAAATGTACATCTCTTTCTCTCAAGTAATTTTACTTCTAGGATTTGTTCTAAACACATAATGAGAGTTCTGTACTGATTTAATAGAACCAATAACTTTCATTTGCCTTATATTGTAATTCTATATAAGCTTTATGTAAATACTTAAATATTAGTCATGGCACTATTCAGTTTAGAAAAATTTGGCAGAAACTCAAATAAGATATTGGATGAATTAATTATGGCTTAGACATGAGATGGAATACTTTTCTAAAAAGTCTTCTAAAACTTAATGACATGAAAAACATTTTTAACATGCTACCAAGTTGGAAGTAGGCTGCGTAATCATATGTCTTTGTGATCCTAATTCTAGAAAGCATAATATGATACATGCATACATGCACACAGCCATCAGAGGACCACAAGGCAACACTTAAGAGCAACTCACATGGGGACAGAATTACCAGTGGTATTTATTCCCCTTCCAGCCCCAGCATTCTCTAAATAAAATGGCATAAGCAAGATGGAAAACCTTTAGTTTGGTACTCTCCCAGATACCACAGACACTTGGAGCTCTGTAAAGTACCAAGGAGTCCTCCATCTTGCCCCAAATGACTGTGGCGTAAACACTGTGACAGGTGCCTTAAGATGAGCAGAAAAGGGGTCAGACAGAAAGAGCCTGGCTTGGTGTGGGCTCCACTGTGAATGGCTTTGCAGAAGGGGGAACAGCTAGGAGTACCTGTCAAGTATGGAAAGTCACCAGCTCTGGCTTTGGAGCACATAGGCCAAACCAGGTGTGGACTGACACCACAACGTGTAGAGAAGAACCTAAAGCCATAACTCATTTGATTCTGGAGTTGGGCCACCACTGAGCCAGGAGGATCTGTTGTTCCTTCACGTCTTTCAAGCAGATGGTGTGGCTTGGCTGATGATATGATGGGGCAAATGACCTTACTGAACACATGATGGACGGTGCCTTTATCTTTCTTCTGAGGCTCCTTTTCACCCCAGCATTGGTCTTCTTGCTACCTTCTGAAGCGGCCTAACCATTTGCCCTTCTCCCTCAGCCCGAAACACCTTCTCCTAGGCATCTTTTGGTTTCTTCCACCTTGCTAGAGGTCATGTGAGAGAAAAGCAATAGTCAAAGTTAAGCAAGAAAAGCAGACAGAAGTAGGAAACCAGAAATGCACCTGGCTCGTTTGGAGAGGAAGAGATGCTGGGCTAGAATCAAAGATGTTTGGGGACATGTGAAGGGATATATAATGGGTGGAAAGCCACCAGGCCAAGATCCTGCCTCCTCTGCACACACACCTGGGCATGCCTGGGAACTGGCCAGCTGTGGTAGATGATTAAAGATCACATTTCTGAGAGGAACGGAGGTAGTTTTCAGACCAGGCCTCTTGAAATGCCACAGGATCCTGATCTGTAGTACTGGATTCTTATTTGGGTGCTGTACAGTTTCCAACATGCCCTCAAATTCATTACCTCATTTCGTCTCAGGAGGTGAGGAAGCAGATCAGATGTAATACCCATTTTACAGTTGAGATAATTGAGATTAGGAAAATTAAATGACTTGTTTGAAATCCCCAAAGGTAGAGGTGGCAAAACCTGGGTGCACTCAGATCTGTGGCTGCCATTTCCACCAAGCAAACCCATGGTGCTGCGGTGCATGAAGCCCTTGCTGACATGAAGTTCTGCCTCTAGCACTGTGACAAAAAGCCCTTCCCTGTAGAGTTGGACTGTATGGTAATACATTATCAACCACCAAGGAGGGAGGACAGTGGGAGGGTCTTATACAGAAGGAACAACCACATGGACATTTCTGTATAAGCAGTAAGTGTGTGTTGGGGAGGGGGATGTGCAACAGTCATCCCAGTGCTGCCCAAGTCAGTGGGGTCCTTCCACCATCTCCCAAGTTCAAACAAACTTCAGCTTTTCCATTTCCTCCACCTGAGCTTGAAGCCAGGGGCATGGAGTGGCATTTCTCTACTAAGTAAAGCTGGAGGAGGCAGTCTGGCTAACACCCCAGGAAACAAAGGCAGGTGACATATCTTACTCAACAGCTTGCATGGCCATAGCCCAGAACTTCAGGATAAGGCCTTGTGGGGACACTGCCTTCAGATTTGTCCCACAGCCTTACTTTGAGTTTGATAATGCCAGACTGAGTGCTTGACACTCATCTGTCCACACTTAGTGATCAGGAGGAATCCTTGGACTGGATGGGTCAGTACCTTAACTATGCTGGTGATCACGCAAGTGCACAGACCTATATGCACGTACAAGAGAGTACATGGCACCTAGTAAGATCCCTGGTCACCATTCTACATATGTGACACAGTGCTAGCCACACAAGATGTCAACAATATGGTAGGCTCGGCAAGGTGCCCTCAGATACCCATATTCTCTCACAACTGTTGTTGAATGTACAATCATCTCAAGACAGTTTAAGGAAATGACTGCCATATTACAGAGTTGAAGAGATGTGAAATTACTTCAACTTCCCACTGCAGTTGAGGGTCCTTCCTTCACAACCCCAGGGATTTGGGTTTTCAGACCACTGCTGAGTTCCAGAGGGGATGGGTGTGGAGCAAGGGTTGTGGAATTAGCAGCTGGAGAAAGGATGGGGTCTCATTAGAAATAAGGGATTCAGAAGAAGATTGTGTTCTCCCAAGATGAGAAGGGACTCCTGCAACTCACTGCAGAGGGCTTGAGATGGGACCCTGCTGTTGCTGGGGCACTGCCAGCAACCCCCTCTTCCGGGTTCTACATTTACTCTGAAAATCTTACATTAAAGGGTCCTGTGGGGTCAGTCAGTAGTCGAGAAAGGGCATGGCTTCCCTAGAGACCAGGTGAATGGATAACAGGCCCTGGGCCCAAGGGGAGTCATGGGGCAGAGCCCATCCTTGGTGACCTGGCTCACCATTGTGGCTGCTCCATCTTCTTCACACAGATCACAGAGAGAAGGCTACTTAGCTCCCAGAGTCAGCAAAAGCCTAGAAGGACTTCTCCAGCCCGACCCGGAGCAACAGTACCTCGTCCTCCGCCCGTGGGGTCCACTAAGACCCTCCCAGACAAAAGCGTCTGCAAAGAAGGAGCCGCCCCCGCAAAGGGGAGAAGCGCCAGATCCCATCAGCCAATTACCCAGACACGCAAGGCGACCCGCAAGTTCGGGCACGCTCCGCCTAGGCTCAGGCAGCCGCAGGGGCCCGGGCGCGCCCAGGGGGTCTGAGTCTGCGCCCGGGTCGCGCCCCATAGCGGATCATGGTCTAGTGGGGGTTCGCTCAGAAGGGAGTTTCTGTGCCCGGCACGCTGGGGGATCTGGGGGGCATCTATGCTGGGGGCAAGGCTGGGAAAAATGTCTGGGTAGGAGGGGTGCTCAGGGCAGGAGAGGGGGGACTGGATCTGGTCCACGTGAATGATCACGGGGTGTGGGCCAAGTGGTCTGGTACCCAGCGCCAGGTTGGGAGCTGGGCCAGAGCCCGGGTGTTGGAACAGGCGGCCAGTCTGCTCCTCGCAGCCATACAGGCGGCGCAGCCAGGTCCCCCCTCCCCCCAGCTCTGGCCCCCAAAGACCCCTCCACGACCTCAAATCCCAGCAGCCCTTAGCCCCTAGATCGCCCCGGAAACGCAGCCCTCTCCTCCGACATGCGACGCGCCCGGGTAGCCTCTAGCTGGTGGAACAAAAGAGCAGCTCTCGTGGAGCGGGTCAGAGCCTACATCGACCGTCCCAGGGCCCTCGGATACCCGGCTTTGTGCTCGCGCGGGGAGCGGGAAGGACTGCCGGGGTCCCAGCGCACATCCCAGCGGCCCTGCGCAGACGCAAGCAGTGCCCAGCGCCTAAGTTTTCCCGGCGCCGGCCGCCTTCCACTCTGCCCAGCTTCCCTCCGCGGGGTGCCCCATTCATTTGCCAGGGGAGTGAGCGCAGACAGCCGTGGTGGGCCTCCGGGACTCACCTTGCTCTTGACTTCCACCGCGCTGCAGTCGTAGAAGCGTAGGGTCTGAGACTTGTGGAAACTCCGGTTCATGGTTTCGGCCCCACTCAGCCTCGCCCTCGCCGTCGCCGCTCAGGGGCCACAGAAGGAGTCCTGGCGGAGACGTCCCTCACCCCGCGCTGTTTGCCGGGCCCGCAGCGGGCCCGCGCTAGCTCGGGCGCCGGGCGGCACGGTGTGAGGCGGGCCGGAGCTGCGCTGGCCGCGCGCCTCCGGGACTCCAGGGGCCGCGCGCGGGAGGAGCTACGAGACACCTCCCCGAGCCCCGCCCATGGCGCCCGCGCCCATAGCCCGCCCCAAGCCCCGCCTCTCCAAGCCCAGTCACGCCCCCACCCGCTGCACTTCGAGGTAGAAGTGAACTCCCTTCTCGGAGATCCTGGAAAAGAACAACTAGAGGCCCTGCTCCGGGCTACTGGTTTTGCCTTCCCTGGGATGCCAGGGAAGACGGTTGTTAGTTAATTATTTGGAAGCATGCTAATGAGAACCACTTGAGAACTGATCCCATTGGGTACCATCCGCCAACATTAGCTGCCAGGTTGTAGGTGGTGAATTATGCACAGTCCAGCACCCGCTGAATGAAAAGCGACAGCCGCACTTCTGCAGGTTCTGAGGAGTAGCAAGACTTTTTCTAAGGCAGTTAGTAGAAAAGAGAGTAGGTGCGGAGAAAGCTGGAACTAATTATTAGGACTTACTTGATCGAGAGCGCCCGAAGGACGAAGGAAGAAACTCAACACGAGAGTCTAAGAAGTCAGGACAAGACACACATTTTTTCAAAACCAGTACAATCTGTCCTATGCAGTTTTGTAATTTACAAGTTAAAGAATTAAAACTTCAAAAAGTCATTGTAAAGGAATGGGAAATACAAGTAAGTCAAAGAAATAAGGGAAACGGCCTGCACTGGTGCTGACTCAATAAGTAGTCCTACCAACTTTGGGTGCATTTTATTTCCATTTATTTTTCTGTACATATTTTTACATGTTTAATAAAATTGGGCTCATACTGTTCATCCAGTTTTTCGGCAACTTGCTGTCATTACCTGTGTAATCGGTTCTTAGAAAATGTTTCTAAAGCTGCACATATGAATACAGGGACAATTTCTAGTGCTTTTGTTGGCTTTGAATCTTACACACGATTTTAAATACTAATATTGTAAATGCTGAATTCTTGAATTCACTTATTTCTGATTTTTTTAGAAGATTGACTCTAAAAATGGAATTATTAGGCTATAAAATATGCTTATCTCTAAATGCCTTTAATACAGATTGTCAAATTGCATTCCTCAAAATTTATTTTTCATTTAATTTTGCTATGCGTTTATCCTGTTAGAGGTTAGGGCTTTTAGTGACAGGGATATGGCCACAATGGCTTGGAGCTATAATTCCTCCCTTAAAAGAACTCCAGATTGTAGCATCAGCTCTTTACTTCATGTAAAGTTCTGTTGCTGAAGACATTACACACATGAGCTGTAGAGCAAACAAGGACAAATCAAGCTGTTATTGCAAAGCTTCACCTCTACCTGCTAGCTTTCATAGTGCTGGAAGGTGCTATGCATGTGAGTGGAAGAAAAAAATCATTAACCTTAACCAGCTATGAATTCTGTGTGCTTCAGCAACAACTGGCCTGGCAAGATATGACCTCCAGCGCAATAGTGGCATGAAAACGGGAGTAGCCAAGCACTTTCGAATTGGATTTAAGGTTTGCTTCATAAGATGGAGTCATACCTGACACTGATGTTAGGCCCAAGGACATGTGGCCACACAGGCCACAGGCCATAGGGGAGAACCTAATACTGTTATTTTGCTAAATAGATACAATATTAAAGGAAATCCTAACGACTTACTGTTATACCCATAAATCAATGCATCTCTCATGTCTCACCAGAGAAGGTTCCTTAATACAGCAGATGGTGATTGACAGAGAAACTCACAACTGGCTAATGTGCAGAGAATAAGAAGCTGCAGAGTACTTATCCCTGAATAGGACACCTACATCAAACTTCTGTCCCCCAAGGTTCAGAGATCATTGTAGAAGACGTGGTGGAAAGACTGTAAGAAGCAGAGGTGATAGATGACCACAGGAAACAGAGTTTTCCAGACAGCTGGGAAGTTACTCATATGAACTCACAGCAATGGTGACACTATGAACAAGTACCATGTAAGCTCAAGCCAGACAAAATCTTAGCATAGACATGGGGAAGTGGGTAAGAAACCTAACCCTCCCTGAAGAACTGTTGGAAACTGATGGCTGCTGGGAAGGGCAGAGTTGGTCTCTTTTAAGGGTATAACTGTGGATGGATCCATACTGCAGGACATTTGGGGACACAAGTTTGACTCTATAGGTCTTTATATATAATACATATATATATAACATATATGATGCAGCACATGAAATTGGGTGAGGAGTACTAAGGGGAGTGCGTATAGGGGAGGGGATCTAAATATGATCAAATTATATTGTATGAAATTTGCAAAAATTTGATTAAAAAAGGAAGAGAGAGACTGTAGGTGGTACTCTAGTTGCTGTCAAACCTACTGCCCCTTGCAGTATACTCAATAAACTTCCCTTATTTATTTATTTATTTATTTATTTATTTATTTATTTGTTTTTTGAGACAGAGTCTCCCTGTAGCCCCCAGTTGTCCTGGAACTCACTATGTAGACCAGGGTAGCTTTGAACTCGCAGAGATCCACCTTCCTCTGCCTCCTGAGTGCTGGGATTAAAGGCATGCACCACCACGCCCAGCAACTTCTCTTTTTTAAAAAATATTTTATTATTTTTATTTTATGTGTATGCGTGTATTGCCTACATGTAGGTAAGTGCACCCATGTCGTGCAATGCCCACAGAGGACAGAAGAGTCTATTGGATCCCCTGGAACTGAAATTACAGACAATTGTTAGCTGCCATGTGGGTGCTGGGATTCAAACCCAGGTTTTCTGCAAGAACAATCAGTGTTCTTAAATGCTGAGTCATCTCTCCAGCCCCTAAACTTCTCTTTTAATAAATAGGTTTAAAAAAAAAAAAGAATGGCTCCTGTGCTGAAAAGGGACTAAGATGAGAATGTCAAATAGAACATAGGCAACCTCACTGCATTTCTCAAGGCTTGGAATTCATGAAATTATATGAATAATTCAGATTCCCCCCCAAATGCTCATTCTTTGACCCTGGTCCCAGATATCCTATATCAAGTGTGGAGTGGGTTCTGGAATGTGCATTTTAATAAGCGCTTTGGGTATTTCTGGTCCAGATTGTTCATAAATTCCAGGCATAAAAAGCCCTGGAACTTTCAAGTATATAGACCAATTAATTAGAGGGATTCATCCAAGAATCATATAAGGAGTAACAAAACTTATAGGCTCAAAAGCTTGGGTTCAATCTCCAGCACTGAATAAGACCTGGCATATTGGGACATACCCAGAACCCCAGCCCTCAAGGTGGAAGCAAGAGGATAAGTGCTCAAGGTCATCCTCAGCTACTCAGGAAATGCAAGGCTAGCCTGGGATACATGAGACCCTGTGTGATGGTTAGTTCTAATCGTTAACTTGATCACAGCCTAGAATTACTTGAGCAGAAAGTCTCAGTGAGGAGTTTTCTAGATCAGGTTGGCTTGTTGGGCATGCCTACTGGGAGAATTGTCTGCATTGTTAATTGATGTGGGAAGACCTAGCCCACTGTGCACAGCACCATTCCTTAGGTTTGGGTCCTGGACTGTGTAAGTATAGAGTAGACATGACTAACTGCTTCAAGTTCCTGTTTCGACTTTCTCACAGTGATGTACTGTAACTTGGACTTGTAAGCTAAATAAACACTCCGTTATAAAAAAGAATCCAGATTGTTCAGAGGAGCAGACACATACAGAGACTCCAAAACAGGCACAAGAGATGTACATTGGCAAGCACCAGGGACAAAGCGCGGGCTCCTTGATTCCTTTCCCCCTCCCCTCTTTTCCTCTTCTCTTCCCCCTTCCTCCAGTGGCTCCTTCCCTCTCCTCTCTCCTTCCTTGCACCCTCCCATCTCTTTCTCATCCTCTCACTGTCTCTCTCTCTCCACTCCTTCTCTCTCCCTCCCGCTTCTCCATCTCTTCCACAGACCTTCCCATATCCCTGTCTGGCCTCAGACTTGCTATTTAACGTAAGTGTCTGATCCTCCTTCCTCTACCTCAAGTGTTGGGATTACAGGCCTGCATTACCATGCCCAGTTCTTACATAGTGCTGGGGATAGAACCCAAGGCTTCATGTTGGCTTTATTTGAAGGGCAGTTTCCTAACAGTGTAGCTCTTTGGACTTGTGGAAAGTCACAGGTCTTCTGTTTACTGTCTACCTCCCACTCCAAATGGTCTGTTTTGTGGGTAGGAGCGTCTCAGGAGCCTGGTGAAGATTGAGCTCTAAGCTAGACATTTCAAAAACGGAGTGATGAATAATATTCTGGGGAGTCAATAGGGATTAGGGTCCAACAGCAGGTTCAGGACTCTGCAGTAAAGAAGAAAGCTCTTGAAGGAAGGTGAGGAAATACAAATTTCAAGCAGTCCCAGGTTGCCAACTGGGCAGCCACGTAAGACAGAAAAATTTGTGAAGCCTGTGGCTCACAGTGAGATCTAAGGCTGACACGCTCACCTGTCTCATCGGTAACAACCTGCCCAGACCCCCTGAATCAGAACCGCAATTGAATCCCCAGATGACTGGTTAGCACAGTGACATTGCAGAGTGACTGCACTTGGATCTGAATCACCTATTGCCCACACATAGTGCTTGACTCAGGGAACAGGCAGCCACAGGAAGAAGATATTGATGCCTGAGTCTTCCCTGTATGCAGCCTGGGGGTGCCTGTGAGAGGCTTTTTCAAGCTTCAGGATTGGAATCTATTCCTCATAGGTCCCGGCCTGGCAGTCTGTCTCCACATATATATTGGGGCCACAGGAACCTTTGAGGTCTTGCTGGTGGGCTGATTTTAGTTGAAGAGTAAGAAAGGAAATAGGGATTAGTGGACCCAGTTTTCCTCAAGTCATGGCTTCAAAGTGATAACACTGAGTATGGTGCCTAATGCCTGCAGTCCCTGTTATCCTAGTTACTCAGGTCCAAAAATGGAGGACTGAGAGTTTAAGGCCAGTCTAAGCAATGCAGTGAAACTGTCTCCAACCAAACAACCAAAAAACCCACCAACTAACTAACCTACCCTTAGTAAATGAATGCAGACTCGGTGGGAGCACATGCTCTGGGTTGTAAGTCTCTGGAAGGAAACTAG